TGCTGACATAATTGCAAGTGGATATCAAATATTGCCCCTCGATTCCTATGGCTAATGCCGTTCGTTTCGATTCGAGAGGCTGTCAGGGGCAGGCGGCATGACATGGGGCACCAAGGTCATTGCGGTGGCATTAGTGGGTGGCACTGTTCAGAGATCTCCACACATTACCAATGGCACACACACATCGACACGAATCGAAACGAATCGAATTGAGTCCTGTGAAATACTCAAAAATCCATTTCAATAGAGTGTCAAAAATGTCAGGTCAGGAGGTCAGGGGGTCAGGGGGTCAGGGGGTCAGAGGATGGGGAAAAGTGGAAAAGCCACGCGATTTTATTTTATGTATGTGGTGGACTTTGTGAATCAAAAATCAGAGTCGAAAAAAACTATGAAAATCACATTCGAAATCATTGATGACAAAAATGTGGATTTTATTTATCTTAGCTGAAATATAAAAATCGCGTTTTTCCAGTATTTATTTTTTGCACATAATTCATTGTTATTTGGCGGTGTCATTTCAAATCATATTTTTGTTCCAAATTTACTGTGCAATTCCACACATAATTCGGGCTGCACATCGATTCGTTCAGTTCGTTTTTTCCCATTATTTGTCTGTCACTTTTGATAATTGCATGACGCGTTTTACACGCGAGTTGAGCGCGATTTTCGAACATTCGCAGACTCTATATGGTAAGTGTGCACGTATATTTCTATATATAAATATATATGTACGTGCAAGGGACTATCGATGGCATATCCTTACAAGGATTTGCACTTAACCTGCTCCACTTGCAGCCCAACTTGGCATCGATTGAGATTGCTGCGGAAATGCGAGGCAAACTGTGAGAAAAGCCGTCGAGAAGCGAACAAAAAACGGCTTCTCAAGTGGAAGCAATCGCTCAAGCTGGAAACCCTTTCCTTGTTTGTATGTGTGCGGGAGGCTTTTCCATTTTTCATTTTTTTTGCCACCTGCTGACGTCACTATTGACCCACTTGCAAGCCAAATTGAATTCGCATTCAAAGTGCCAACCAACTGTGATGCGAAAGATGAAGATATACTGCGAAAAGATGTCGCCTAATTTTGGGGTTTTTCCAAAATATTCTGTTTTATGTAGATGTTCTTTAATAATATTTAAAATATGTCAGTGTGTATCAAATATTTTTGTTTAAATATATGATAATAATGTGGCTAGGCTTTCTGCTTTGTTTTCTGTTTCCCATTTTCTCTGCTCGCATTTTAAACTCTTGCCGGCAGTTTGTCTCTGGATTCCAATGCCATTGATAAATATGCCAAATCATCGGGCACGTCCTTAGACCTTCGATCGCATCCTTGGATCCCCAGGACACGTGCAACAACTCCAACCAAAGGAAAGCAGAGCGAAAAAACGAGGAGAAAATTAAGCCAGAAAGAAAATGAAAACGGGGTGGGGGTGCTGAAAAAGTTTTTCCATTCACTTTTCGTTTTGTTTGCCGAGTTACTCTGTCAAAAATTTATTTAAATATTCTACTGAATTTCCGGGAACACTTTTGGCCTCCCCCATCGATAAAGTTCTTGGCGCCCAACAACGCCACGCGTTATAAAATTTCCCCAACACTCATTAGGTGCAACAAAAACACACTTCTCGTCTTGTCTTCTCCTTTTTCCTTTTTCTCTTTTTTTTTCGTGGCAGCGACAAATGGCAGCAAATTATGATGCTGCTCCCAAGTTATTCTAACAAAACGAAGAAGATCCAAACCCAAAGAAAATTGGAAACCCTTACCCCATCAAGCGTAAACTCTTCTCCATTTTAACCAATTTTTCTTCTTGTTTTTTGTGTTTTATTTTTTATTCGTTTTCTCTGTGAGCGCAAACTTTCCCTGCTGCCAACAATTAATTGAAATTAACATATTTTTCTTCTTTTATTTGAGACAACTTCCCGCACCCCTCCTCCGTTGGCCGCATATCCACGCCTGAGTAACTCAATTTCCACGAGCTTTACTCCTCCGGAAAAATTAAAATGCCGCGGATTAATTTTCAGCGTCTGGGCAAGCAGAATTCAAAAAAAAAAAAAAGAAAGGGGGAAGTCGGGCACTCGGACCAATTAAATTGCTTTATTTAAATAAATTAAAACTTTTTACTAGTAACCATCTTCGGTTTCTAGTTTCTAGTTTTCCTTGAGGAAATTCTGATCCATTGGAATTAATGCGTGTTTCACTTAAATCCTCACCTATAGCACTTTGATTTAAGTAAGAAGAACGAGCAAGTCCGAATTAATTTCACCGAATTGTTTATGGCCTGTAAGTGAAGCGCTTTCATTTTTGTGGCACCTTTAATGAGGCAGACCCAAAGGCAGGGGCGCACAGCCAAGGGGGATTTACCCAATTCCCACACGGAGCGAGGGGAATCCGAGGATATGGCGTTCGGTTGGCTCAGTCACATAATAAGGAAATTCATCATACGCCACCGATTCCCCAGTTGCTCCACTTGCAGCGCTTTGAATTGCTGTACATATATATATATATATCATATTGTTGTTGTGGCTCCTTGTTGGGCGCTGCCTTTATGAAAAATTATACAAAACTTTTTACTTAGTGCCACGCGGGCTCTGAACAATTACGAGGCCATCAGGGAAGTGGAGGCCAAAAGGCAAAGGGCAACGGGCAGCGGGGGGCGGGGGGCGGGCGGCAGTGGGCCAAGTCAAGGGGTCGGAAAATAAATAACGTGTTTGTAATAAGCCAGTCTCTGCATACATATATACATGTACATATATATTTGATTTAAACGATGCAGAAAGTTAAGGGGGAAAGTTAAGATGTGGGAAAATGTGCGAGTGTGGGGCTGGTCAATTGAAAATGGTTTCCCATTCGGATTGCTCGCTTATCGCTGCAAAGCACAATCTGTCAGTTCTCGACTAATTAACTGAGTGGCGAACAATGTCCAAGATTTATGGGCATTTTACTTGGCCGGAAATTTACTTAATTACAAAGTATCCACCCCCCCCAACTGAAGTGGCATAAATCAGGGCGATTGTTTAAGAAACTTTGCTTGTGTTCGGAACGTTCTCAAAGTTTTGGCTTCTTAGCTCCAGCAAAGGCAGTTTAAAAGCCAAGTCTTTGTTGTGGCTTTAATGGGTTACAGGCAAAAATGGCGCAGACCCATTGATTTGAAATATGCCGAAAAGTAGGCTAGGCTAAATGGTTCGATTGTTGCATTCGAAACGAAGGCACTTGCTTTCCATTCCCAATTAAATCTTGGTAACTCGACGAAGGTCAGTTGACCCGGTAGCTTTTCTAATTACGCACTCTAACAAATTCTTTGCAACTCGCAAAACCATTCCATGCTGCCACCTGGCAAACTTTCGGCATTTCTATGGAATTCAATTTCAAAGCTATATCATTTTCATTTAATTTCACGCTTTCAATTTGCGACCCACACAAACTTGGGGCGCTCGGCGCAAAGAAAACGAAGGGGAAAAGGATCGCTCTTTGTCCGGCCGCATCCCTTTTTTTTTTTTAGTCCACAAGCTCACACTCGCATTCGAACTCACCCGATTCCGATTCCCGCATGGTGACCCCCTTTTTATCCTTGGTGACCCCGCGCCACCGGAGGAGCCGCGGCGCATGCCAAAGGTATGCCATAATGGATTTTTTGCCGTTGTTTTCCTTCAGCCACCTATTGTCTGTAAAACGAAACCGCCTCTCGCCCCATTTCCCCTTCAGTCTCATCCATTTTCCAGCCCGGAATCAAACCGAACCGTAGCGAACCGCATCGCCCGTCAATTTAGCACTTTCAACTAAACACACACGTGCCCCGGTGTGTTTTTGGAATGGATTGAAAGGGAATAGAAAGCAAAACAAGAGGCAAAGGAAAAACTTTTCAAATACAACAAAAGGAGGGGGGAAACTGCACATCGCTTCAAACGGCAAACAAGAATATCCATGACCAGGTCAAAGGGCAACATTGGCACCACGAATCTGATTGCCCTCGCTGAATGGGTTTTTATTACTTCATATTTATATATATAGTTTATATATATAGTTAATTTTCTAAAAGACTTGTTAATTTTATCAATCACTATTTGAAAGTGCGTAAACTTTCCCATTTTAATTAAGCGTTAGGCAGTATTCTCAGTATTACACATCTATGTAAACGATGTGCATTTTTCAGCCATGCAACTGGCGGCAGTTTTGAAAAATACTTCAAACACACAATTTCAGCACCGATGGCGGTAAAAGGATTTTTCAATCAAAAACCTTCGATGCGACGGCTTTTGTGTGTGCGAGTGAGTGTGTGTGTGCGTTTGAGACTCACGAAATTGGTCAGCAAAAATTTGTTTGGCGTGTAAATTGATCACTTTTTTTTGCAACCATTGTTTAAGTTTGGTGAGGAAAGGAAACCTGCGGAAAATGCCTTTTAATCATTTAACTAATGTAATCAATTCTTCCATTTCTCCCTCTCTTCTCTTTCGCTCTTTTCGCGGTCCTCTGCAAATTGCAATTCACAGCGCAAAACTTTTGATTAATTAAAAGTAAAACAAAAAACCCAGAGAGCCAACCAAGAACTGGCTTCTGGTGCCCAACAACAGGCAGAGGAATCGACAACAACAACCACAACGAGAGTCCTGAACTCAGCCGCAAAAAAAAAAAAAAGAACTTTCCTACAGGAAGCTAAACAAACCGGAAATAACATTAAAAGGAAATAGGAAAAAGGAATTTAACTTCAACAGAAAATCAACATCGAAATGGAATTGGCCATCAGAATTGTCAATCCGCAGTTAGCTCGCTACAAAAACAACTACAACAGCAATACCAGCAACATTCGCACCAGCAATAGCAAAAAACTAATCACCGATAGTAGCTGCAACTGCAACATTCAATCCAACGACGACAACAACAGCAACCCAGACATCAACAGTGACAACTATATAAGAACGACTGCAACAGCAGCGAGAACAACCACAGGCAACAACCAATTGTCAGCAGCAACAGTAGCAGCAACAGTAGCAGCAACAGCAGCAACAGCAGCCATAATTGCAGCACTAGCAGCAGCAACCTGCAACCACTTTGCAGCCACATCAGCGCGAAATGCAGCAGCAGCAACAACCGTCCATCGACCAGCTGCCCGAGCCCACAGCTTCGACCAGCAATTCGGCAGCAACTAAGCCGACAACATCAGCAACAACGACAACATCTGGCAACAACTTCCACCAGCAACTGCAAGCAACAACGGCAGCCACCATGCAACGCCTGCGTACAACCTTCACGCGTTCTCGCACTCCCACAGGTGCCGAAATGAAGATGCAGAACAGTCTGGAGGTGCCCAAGCAGGTAAAAAAGGTGGATATTCGTTTGTTAATTCCGATATCGTTGTTGCCTGCAGCATGCAAATTTGGATTGTTGTTGGTTCGTCCTTAAATGGTTTTACTCCGATATGGAGATACATGTGCTTCTTGTTTTATTTAGTCTTATCCCTGTGGCAATTGCAAGGCTAAGGGCCCATGTTGGGCGCCACAAATGAAAAGCCGAGCTGCATTACGTGATACCCTCTTTATTTGGCCTGCTTTTGTCTTTTCGTTGTCTTGCTGTGTTTACTTTTACGTTTAATACATTCAACCGAGCTCTGTTGTGCCAGCAATTATGTGTTTCGCATGATGTTATGTTGTTCTTTTCGAAAGCCCACTTCACTCCACCTTTCAGACGAATTTGTTTTATGTTGGCTAAATGTGCAAAGTTGTGTCGTTTATATCGCGTTTTGCATGTGTTACGTTCGATGGCAATCTATAGATACCGATGTTTGGTCAATTACTGATGTTTGCTTAGAATGCCCCACGTTGGGCGACCTCGTTGACCGCTGTGATCATCCCATCCCACTTGTTGCAGGTGCGCTCAGCCTCCTTCGACGAGATGCAACTGGAGTCGCAGCGTGCCTCCTCTAGTCTGCTCAAGCAGCAGTCCTCATCCTCGGCCTCGGCAGACGAACGCTCCTCGGAGGCTGGCTTCTTGCAGGTTCCATTGGCGGCCCATCAGCAAAGATCCCATAGCTTCGACTCGGCAACTGTCTCGGCGGGCAGCGATGACTCGGGCACGTTTTTGGAGGTGCCCAGCCGGATAAAGGTTCGGCGCAGTTCGTCCACCAAGACGCCGCCGCCTTGCATCCATTGTCACTATCTGGAAGAGTATGAGCGTCGGATGACCGCCGAGCAGCGTTACTTCATCGATCATCGCGAGCTGACGGCCTTGAGCTACAGCTATACCAGTTCGGAGGCGAGCGAGGATGAGGACGAAGTGGAGGGCAACAACGCGGAGGAAGAGGAGGAGGGCAGTGCTGCCATAGAGGATGCCGAGGAGGAAACCACTGAGGCGGCCACCGAGGAGGCGGATGAAGATCCCCGCACCGAGGTCGAGTCCGAGCACGATCACGATCCGGATGATGACGCTGCATTAGAGATGGACATCCGCATTGGCAACATAAGCCAAGGCAGCAGCATCGAGGAGTCGCGCGCCCGCCTACCGCGACAAATGCGACGCCACACCATCGGCAGCAGCTCGGTCACCTCGGCCTCCGAGGATGAGGGCTTGGAGGGTTCGGACAATGGGTCGCCGCATTTCGGCAACACCTTGTTGCCACCGCAGCCGGCAACACCTTGTGGCATAACCTTCACGCTGAGTCCAACCAATGGGGATTATCCATCACCGCCGCATCTCCCCTTGGATCCCGGTTCGCCGCCCATTTCGCCGTGCTCCTCCAATTCAGGAAGACTACCAGCATTGACCCCGACAATTTCCACGCCCTGCTCCTCTGCGGATGCCGATGATGCTGGTGCAGCTATGGGCTTGCCAGTCCGAGCCAGACGTCGCTCGATTTCGCGACAGGAGGCAATATTCGTGGAGCCCACTGGCAACTCACTGGAGAACGTTTCCCATGAGGAGGTGGATAACAGCAACACCAAGTCATCGGTGGACACGGCTGATTCACTCGACGAGGCCTCGACCATGGCCACATGTGGCTCACCCGGAGCCGCCGGTGGCAGCGGTGCCTCCTCCTCCAGTCATCACAACGCTTTTGTGGTGCGGGATATTTACTTAATGGTGCCGGACTTGAAGCGAGATCGCGCCGCCTCCGTGGATTCGTGTTTCTCGAAGCTCTCGTCGAACGTCAAAACGGAGGAGCTGCAACCAAGTGCCGATGGCTGCTTCCTCACCGTGCCGAATATAAACGCAACTCGATCGCGATCCGTGGACATCGTGCTGCCAACTGACGAGCAGGCCAGATACAAGGCTTTGTCCATGACCGGATCCACTGTCACCTACGCAGACGGGTATGTACCATTGATGCGGAACGAGATACATTTTTCCTACACCTTGCAAATACTCAATTTCCTTGAAAATGGTGCTTATTTATATGCCTAATTCTACACCCATATGCAAATGTCAGAAGTGCAGAAGCTAGTTTTATTACACTTTACCCAATTGTTTAAGGCCTTGCCCCACCTGAAGAAGAGAAACCCCAATGTGGGAAATCCCTGGTTGGGCCTCCCTTCATTGTTTACTTTCGCCTTGACTTTCGCAGAGATTCAAGGTTCCGGCCAACATTCACAGCAAATCCACTCCTATTTTTAGAGCGGCAAACTTTTAAATTGACTCATTAAAACAAGCTTAACACGTGGCTCTGGTTAGGATTTTGGGATCAGGGACGACGGACCGGGCCATAATTGTGTCTGTTTTCCGGGGCTTGGATCAATTTTACACTTGAACCCTGGATCTCGTATCCCGTGTATCCCGTATCCCGGGTTCTGAATCCCGAATCCCACTTGACCGCCGTGTGTGACACGGGGTGACACATTAGATGTCCGTTAGGTGTCCGTTTCTGTCCGTCAGTGGACCAAGCCCCGTCGACTTAAGCCTAATTAGAAACAAAGGCTTTCGTTCCCTGCCCACTGCTTCCTCCGCTTGGCCACTGGCAATTCATAATTCTCATAACTCCGGACGTGGAGTACAACGTGCCGCATGCCAACCAGGCTTGAATAAATTATGGGTGCCCGCACGAAAAAATAAGCCAAACGAACCGAACAGATACTGTAAATGCCCTTAAAATAAATCATTGCACTTTAGTACTGTTAAAAAATATATATTTTATATATTTTGAAGAGCTTTGAATATTACATATTATTTTAAGAAAACCAACAAATAGTTGCTTATTTTGATTGTTTTTTCTAAATTTCAAAGTGATATGTTAATCAGTATACCCACTGTCAGTGTGGTGAAATTGGCTCAGCGAACCGATTTCCTTGAGTTACAACAAAAGCCGCTCATAAATAATATTCAAACAAAGTGTCCCGTGTCCGTTGTCCGTTGTCCGTAGTCCGCGTATCCCATTGCTCCGAATGACAAGAAGGCGACTCGTGTCTGCGTGTCCAAAATCTTGAGGTGTGAGGTTGACGAACCACTTGCGGCCAATTTGTTTCCCGGCAGCTCCACCAGGATCAGCCAAAAACCAGCAGGAGTCGTCGGCCCTTTCGATGGAACCGATATGGCCGTATGGATAATTCAGAACTCCCCTCTGATGGATTAGATAGATTAGGCCTGTGCGTGTGTGCTTTTCCGTGGCGGGAAACTCGATTCCGTTTCGCGGAAAATTAATTAGCTTAGTGCGGGTCTATCATAGGCGGCACAGAGAAGTATTTGTTCAAATAAATCACAAAAGAGTTTTGTTTGGCTGGGGAAAAACTAAAACTTATCGTTCCCAACTGGATTCACAGTAAATGAGTTTATGTAGTCAAATATTTGCTTTGCCAATATACTTTCATTTAATTGGATTGCCTTTCATACGCAAAAATGCATTCATTAAAAATTCAAGTAAACTCAATGGCAATCCATAAACTGCTGAGGCATTCATTGTGCACTCGAAAATAAGTATATATTTTGCCCAATGAATAATTTTTATTATCGCTCTTTTACTTGCAGGTACGTAAATATATACATATGCGGACATATTGGTTAACCCTTGACAGCCCCATATGTGCTCTCAAAAGATAAGTACTGGAAATGAAAATGAATTAATATTGAAATGCGTCCTGCGTTCAGCAATTTGTGCTCGAGTTTCCCCATTCTCATGCGGCGGTATCTTTTTTAATTTCCGATTCATGTTGTTCCAATTTATGGCCACTTATTGTCCTAGCATACCAAAATACCCATTAAAATCTCACTTCAGGGGGTTCTCCATTAGTGGGACTAGAACCGCAGGGCGATGGGTTTGCTGGGCTTTGGGTTTTGGGTTTTGGGGGGACCACCGCTCATAAAGTTGGATTTGGTGATTTACGATACCGAAGCGTGACACGTTATTATCTCCCATTTAGGCCATTCCAAGGCAATGCTGGGCATTGACCACTGACTGATATGTTTAATTTTGTGCCACTGCCAAAAATGTTTGCCGACCGCTTCAGACCTTTTGCTCGATAAAATGGAAAATATTATAAAATCATTCAATCATGCGGCATGCCGGACACTGCAGTCGTTCGTTTTGGCTTTTGAATGCGACCTACACGCTTCAGTTTCGACTCTGATTTGCAGGGTTTTCCGCTTGTGTGCACTCGGAGAAATAACGTGCCCAGCCATAGTACGATGGGCCTAAAACTGTTGCGAAAAAGATGTGTATTCATTACTAACTTAGTTGACGTACTTTTGCTAAAATGCTTAAAAAATATTTAACTTTCGTTTTGAGCACAAACTTTTCTCGCAGTGTAGCCCGGCAACCGTTCGTGCGTTTTTCTTTGGTTTCTTCTGTCTGTCCCCGGGGCGTGTGCGGTTCATTCATGCGACTTGGGGTCCTCAGACATTCCGCTGGATTTTCCGCCATTTTCACGCCCAATACCCCTCCCCACCCCCGCCCCTTTTAACCGACAGCCCACCCATAACAATAACAACGAAACAAACCCGAGAACAAGTAGCTGCTACCAGCCATCGAACATGGCGAAACAAAAAGTTAACTTAACTTTTATGACAATGGAGCAAATAATTTTATGAAAATACTCCCCCGAGGGGAACTATACGTACATGTATGTATATGTACATACACATCTACATATAACCCACGGAACCTTTCGATTTGGTGGATTCAAAGAGGACCGGTGGGGATTGTAAAGTTTTGCATACACGAAATTAGCATACAAAACTCGGGGGCTTTGCGATTGTGTTCCCAATTCGATTTATTCCCGGATTGAGCCAACTGTTCGGTGACATTCTTGGATGCTTGAAACATAGATATTTATTTTACTTATGAAGCATGTTATTAACAGCGATTTGACAGTTGATCTGAATCGTATAATATCAGGAAATACTGGGAAGGATAAGGGCAGATTTGCATTAAACAATATCCCAAATTTCAGCAGGTTTTTTTCATACATATTTTTAATACCTCGTTGCGCTTATAATTCAAATTCCAAAAATGGGAACTGCTATTTTTGGCACATTTTGATAACGTTTTGATCAGTTTTTTGGTCATAACTTCAAAAATATTTGTCTGAACATGGAATGTTATACCTCGTTGTTACCTCGTAAATTTCCAATCGAACTGTGTTTAAAAATGGAAACTCTATTTTTTTTACATTTTTTGCAAATTTTGATGATGTTACCCCTTACAAAAAAAGCAAAAATTGACCCAAAAATTAATTTCCCAAAATCCGTCAAAAAGGGATAGGGATCGTTAGTATTGGTAATTAGCTGCTCAAAACAGTTATTCTTTTATGTTTATGATCATTTTTAGCCAAGTTATGATTAAAATGCCTATCAAAAATATTTTCATTTTTGCCAAAATCCGTTTTTTCGAATTTTGATCATAAAATAATCAGTTTTTTGGTCACAACTTGAAAAATAATTGTCTGAACATGAAATGGTATACCTCGTTGCGCTCGTAATTAAATTTCCAATCGAACTGTGTTTAAAAATGGAAACTCAATTTTTTTTACATTTTTTGCAAATTTTGATGATGTTACCCCTTAAAAAAAGTGCGAAAATTGACCCGAAAATTAATTTCTCAAAATCCGTCAAAAAGTGATAAGGGTGGTTAGCATTGGTTATTAAAAGTAAAAAACAATAATTCTTATAGATATATGACCATTTTTAGCCAAGTTATTCAGAAAAAACTAATCGTAAATATGGAATTTTTGACGAAGAGCTTTCCTCTAATTTTTGGTGTAAAAAATAATCAGTAGTTGGATCAGAACATTCGAAATAATGACCCAAATATGGAATGTCAAACCTCGTTGAGCTTTGGCGTTACTGATCATTTTGAGCTAAAATGTTAATTTACGGAAATCGTAGAAAATGGAAAATACTCTGTGAGAGTGCTGTACCAAAAATCCAATTTAAAACTCCCGGAGCCAAGCTACAAATTTAGAACAAGACAATAAGAATCTCGAACCAAGAAAAACAGAAACAGAAGATGATAAATGAATTGCTTTAGTCTGCACTTGTGCTATTATTTTATTCGCTTTTCTTTCTTATGGTTTTTATTTCTTGCCGCAGTTCCGCATTTGGCCGCCGCTGACGCAGGCGGCATGCAACACATGCAGCAGCAGCAACAACACTCGTCTACAATTAAGTTTTATGAAACATTTGGTTTTTTTACGTTCTCTTATCGCAGTTTTTTCGTCGCTTTTTTCCTTTGCCACAACTACGTCAGCATTCCAGGGGGGCGGTGTGAAGAGGGCGGGGCGAGCGGGGCGGTGACGGGGGCAAGGGCGTAGGTGAGGCTGGGCGCATGGGGCGAAATTGAAATGCAAATTGAAAGGCACAAAGCGAAAATACGCGAAGCGAAACTGAACAATCAAAGCGCGAGACAAAGCAGCGAACGCAGCGAAAACGTCAGAAACTGCGACTGCGACGGCGGCAGAGCTAGAAAATGTCACCATCACGATCCAAATGGAAAACGCTGGCGAAAAAAAAACCATAACCGAAAAAAAATATCCAAGAGCGATCGCTGCCAGTGATGCCAAAGACAACAGAGGACAAACAACATAGTCTTTAAGAAGTATGAAAGTGCTGCAACCAAAGTTTCGAGGTGGAATTGCATTTAATTTCTACAAACAGTTCCAAAATTGTTTGTCCAGAAGAAAACACAAATTGTTGCTACACACTAGCTAGCTAACTTAATTCCCCAGTTCCGTTAGTGCTTTTACTTGATCGTTGGGAGTAATGTATAATATTATATAGCGTTCAAAATAACTTGCCATCTTAGGAAAACGCTCTTTTAAAGATCGGCTTACTTTGCAGCTATTTCTTAGCCACATGATCAGCTCTGATCGCTGTGGCTGCTGTGGAA